TGTTAGAGGAATTTTGTGAATATCTTGTTCGTTTAGAATGGCAGGCCTTAAATAGATTAGTCTGATAAGAATTCCCTTGTTGGTATCTCAGAAGTCGAACCAGAGAAAATGTTCCAATTTTTTTTTTATGAAGAATCCCAAAAACAAATTAAATACATTATTTTTGTTTAAAGTTACATATATTGTCATAGTATAGATAATATTGTTACGGTATCAATAGTTATGCCCGTTTCGATCATCAGATTTCGCAAAGGAAATATAGGAAGCAGTTTCCACTGGGCATATTAGTGTCTATCTAAATTTTTTAAGGATGATACATCATTTTCAATTTGCTTTGAGAAATGTATTGAACAAAAGTGTAGATACAGCTGTACAAGGGTACATAGACTTGTGACAATAAAATACGTTACTTCTTGTTTATAACGATGATCTTGGTTGATTTTTTTTCCTATCATTTAACACCCATTGAAGCATGAAAGACATCTACTATTTTTGCAATAGTTGGTTGATGACTTTTGCCAAAAGTATATTTATATATATGTGTCAATATAACCCTGTGAGAAATGGCATAGCTTACAGAGAAATAAATTATACTTGGTTTGGATCATGAATGCATGCAGGAAAAAGGGAACATTAGTGTTTCTATATTCACTGTTTGCTCTTCTGTAATCAATTATCAGCTCGTTATAGATCAGATCAAACTGGCAAACCTTGTTCCTATTTACCATATCAGTCATACTTTTATGTACCCGTTTTAACCTTATCCCTCAATTATAACACATATGCGACACCAATGCAATTTGATCATGAAGATTTAAAGCTATTGTTAAGGTAAAAATTATGATGAATGCCACTTCGTCTCCAAACAGAGAACTATGAATACCAAAATGATGTCTTAATGAAAATTTGAATTTTGTTAACAGTCAACTGTGTATCTGAGCAAAATAATTATTATACACTGCCACGCCCCCACTCGGCTTCGTGCCTTTAGTTTTGTTCCAGTTATTAGCAATGCTTTCATTTATACGAGTCGCTTACAGACGCTTGTACTTCTGTGTAGCTTTCAATTCTAGAACTATTTGGTGCAATTATAAATTAATATCCGTGCCAATTAGCTGAGAATAATTTTCTCTTTTTATATGACGGGTCTGCCACCTGCTCACATAACATGCAATGAAGTACACTGATTTTACTGTAAATGACACATTCTACACTATATAGGAGAGGTTTAGAAATCGTGTAACTTACAATCGGGAAGATTAACATTTTCAAAGCAAGTGTGATGATTCAGATTAAAAAAAAAAAAAAAAAAAAGATCTGTGATGACGTTCAACTGTGTAATAAAATTTATTTATATTTTCCTAAAATATAATATATTTACATTTTCTTTATAGTTTGTATACAAGAAAAGCATATTTCCTTGCAAGGCTATAATTACGCAATATCAAGTATAATGAAAGCTTAAATCAAACCAAAAAAGAATACAATTTTGTTTATTCAGAAGTATAATATGCCATTTTTATTGTATGCTTTGTATAATTGTTTGACATCAGATCAGAGAATGTTCGGTAAGTTTTGAACGACTGACTCGGTACTGCATTGTATTACATTTTTTTTTATTTTGTAAATTTTGCATGTTTGAGTGATTGTTTACTAGTATGAGATCCCTGAAAAATTGTTGTTTTTTGTTTGTTTGTTTGTTTAGTTAAGTTTTGTGTAAATTATTGGTGTTTAAATTACACAGACTTTTTGAAAATGTTATTACAGCTGTAAATTGTGTGGATGAATTAAAAATATTCTTTTTAAACAGTTTCTCAATACATACAAATGCTATTATAAATAATATCAACTTACATTTAAAAAAAATAGAAACCTCGAATAAATGCACACACCGTATGAGATTATTATATAAATACCGGTATTGCATGTAGATGAGTGTAACATTGAAAATTTTTATCCCAAGAAAAACATTGTCAACCAAGACGCAGCCTAAGTTGACAATGGTTTTCGAGGGGTGAAAACTTTCATTGTTACACTCAACAACATGCAATATTCATTATATTATACTGAATGTTTTTTACAAATATATATAACAGTAAACCGTGCGCGCATAAATTCTGCGCAGTCGCTATTTTTTGGAATATCACCCGTCGTCAAGCAATGTTGACTGTTGCTACGCAGGAGGGCGTGGCTTCATTATTCAGCAGGTAATATTTTTTTTAACAAATGTTTCTCGACGAATAAGATTCAAGTAATTTACATGAAAGTATAATATTAATAAATATATCAAAATGCCCTACTCTGTACCTTACCTATATTTGATTAAAACGGATTTTATTCAATATATTCGATCTTCAATTTTATGACTGCAAATCTTGTTTTACAAAACAAATAGTCTTGAATGCATTGTATGTACGATTAAAAATATCGAGAGAAGCCTGTGTTGAAACATGTACATATAAAAGTATAATGTTATTAAATGATATGTTTTCCTATTGTGTATTGTTTAATGGACTTTAGAGCTCGAATAATTTTCGTTATTTCATGAAAGACCTCAGTGTAACAAAAGAAAAAAAGAAAAATTCATAATGAATAATATAAAATGTAGAGTGTCTTTGACTTCAAACCTGGTCAGGTCAATGCCGAGACTCGGTTCATTTCACAGCCATGGCATTCTGGCAGATATGTTATAACAACTTATGAGACTTTGATTTGATAATTTTATGCAAATAACTGATGTGCCACTTGTGGACAAAGGAATAAATTATTAATTATAATTCCCGTGCCGGATATGTCTTTATTTTCAACAGAGTTCTGAAAATAATTAAAGAGGTTTCCGCATGTAAAATTTGTGCTCTTAATGCCACGTTACAGTACTGCCTTGTGAAATACGAAACCGACAAAAAATGGTCAAGAGTCTTTTATTGTTAGAAAACTCGAGTAAGCTAGGGTAAATCAAAGAACTATATAGGTACATTATACTCATTTAAGTTAAGAGAGTATTACTTTCAAATTAACAGTCTTATTGATTTTGAACAAATACTTAAACTGATTTATTAAACAGAAATTTTAACACCTTTATAATGCATTGTCAATGTCACTCCTGCTCATAACTGGATAAAAAAAAATAAATGAGCGCCATTTACTCTGGTATTTTTTTCGCCAAGATTTAAACAAAATTAAAATACAGTACTGTATAAGGTTTTTTTAATGTACAAAGGTGAAGATAACATCTACAACGTAACAATGTGTTACAGTGGAACAAAGTTTTATCGGAGGTCTTCCAGGATTTAGTTGTTGATATAAAAATTGTTGTTTTATTGTTCCATATTATGAAGAGAAAAAAGAAATCTGTTTTGTTTAATGAAGATTAGCATATGTATTACACTCGTCCTTCGTTGGAACTAGTATAAGAGACTGATTCGTGCTGCCCCCCGGCCAACCATCTGACGTTGTATTCTTTTTCAAGAGCGGATGTCCTCTCAAATTAATAAAACGTCAAGCGAGGAAATAAATCCTTTTTGCAATTTCAAACTTTTAAAATTTGTTGGGGTAAAAAAAAATTAACAAATAAATATAATGCTACAAAAGAAGCTACAATGAACAATTTTACTCCCAATATTTACATGCATTATATTTTGATAACTTCTATGTTTGCTAACCCCTCTTTCAATACTGTTGAGATGTGTATTTGTCGGTTTCTTATGAATAATAAACGTTAGAATAACATTTTCTGGGAGCTTACTTATATGGTGGCAAATATTTCATTTTAGTATTAATTATTTTGTGAACTATACCTAATGTTTTCAAGATTTCTAGTCAAAAATGTAAGTCATATATTAACAAACAAATAAAATTACATAAACATTAGTAAAGACTAATAATTGTAATATATTATGGCTGATGCCATAATCATCTGATGCTGTGATAAAACTACAGTGTTAATGAGAAGTCTATCTTGGGTATACACATGCATACAAGTCCAGTGCAGAAAGGAAGCCGACAGTTTTGTTCTTTTCTTTCTGGTAATTTGTCAAAATCCAGGAGTATTACACCACACAAAAGAATTGTAAGGCACGACTGGGAATTGACAAAGCAATGTTGAAACTGTCGAACAAGGTAACTGCTCTCCAGAAGCTTGAATCAAGAACTGAGAGACGGGGCAGGCAATTGAGTGAGGACAAAAGGGAGATGACTGCCCGTGGAGAGGTGCTCGCACTAGCTGAACGCGAATTACAGTTTATTGACGTTTGAATAAAAATTGTAAATTAATTTGCTGTCGCACACAAAAGCGAAACATTGTCTACAACACCCCGATTAATAGCTAAAGAGAGACGTCTTCACTAGGGCCTATTTACTGGATCCCGCTGTTAGACGAAATTGAATTGATCGGGCTCGAAATTCATAACTTTTATTACATTTTTAATAGTGAAAAGGAGCAGACAAACGTTACATTTAGCATTTTCTTTGTAAAAAACGGTTGACTTTTTAATATTCAGAGAAATATAAGTACATTACTATATTTAATTTTAAATAATGTTTCATCATGTGTGTATGTGTGTGTGTGTTTTTTTTCGTCGAGCTTCCTCTGATCATCAACTGATTATGATTCAACTCTTGGAAAAGTGACGTTACGTGTATTTTTCTAAAAAATTGACCAATATTTAATTCAAACCATACCAAAGTAACACAGGTACTTGTTTCTATGATAAACCCATCGTATTTTTGTATGGGTTGAAAAAAATTATCACAGAAACAAGTCTGTGCAAAAGTAAGTGTAAAATTAATCAGGACACAAAACCAAATAAAAAATAATGATTTGTATTTTAATTTTATGGCGAAACATTTTTTTAAAATTTGGTTTGTATTCTACCAGAATTTAAAATTGGTCATCATCCGATGTGAAATATGGTTTGCAATATGATAGTTACAATTCACCTTGTTGTTGATCTCAAATCGAGTTATTTTCTCACAGAAAAAAGAGTAAAAGTAAAGGTATTTCAATCAGTTTACTCATAATAAACATAACAATGGAAACATTTCATAAAGTGAATGGACAGGTTAATACCCCATATATCTATATACTGTAATGCAATTCATCGTAAGTTTCACACAAAAACCTATTTTTCAATTGGAATTAATAATAAACTTCTGCCAAAAAATGTTTATAAATTATAGTTCATATTATTAAGTAAGAATTTGATTTTTATAAATACAGGTACTTGTATTATCCAAGGAGACAGAAGTAGACTTTTGCAGTTACAGTAACTTTAGTTTTTCTCCTTAAATTCCTAAATTTCAGTTTTATCTAGATACATGTACGATTTTAGTGGGATTTTCACAGATGAAAATCCAAAAGAGAAATATTGTTAATAAAGAAATATTTAAGTCTAAAGTGCCATGCTGCTTGAATGATTTTTGGAGGTTGTAAAACTTCTCTTTGCAAAATGACACATTCTAAAGGATACAGTTTTAAAAAGTAACTTTTAAAATACATTCACATGTAGTAGCACTTAAGTACAAGAAAATGCTCCAGACAACCACTTAATGAGGGAACAATGTACAGGAAAATTCATCATATCAATAAAATAACAAAAAATACATAGCAATGAAAAACCCACTACCGCGAGGCCAATGAAATGTTAACAAAAACAACATCCATAGATGGCAAGAGTCGATCTATCAATCGTTTTTCATGTGCTGAAAACATATCGGCGATCATCATCAGTATGGATTCAGAATCCCGATTAAAAGTATACAGTGTATATATCGATAACAGTTATAACCCATTACGTAGGTGACAACTTCATCTGGCTGTGCGGGCTTCGTGCAGAGACTTGGGAGTTTGGAGAACTCGTGCTGCTGCGAGAATCATCCAAATTATCGAAGTCATCGTCGTCATCATCGACGTCAACATCGATTTTTTCATCGTCATCGAATGAAGTTATTGTTGGTGATGAGGCTCCTAAACAGCTAAGTTTATCTCCGCTCTGCTGGTTCTGAAGACTACAAAAAAAATCATGGGAGACGTTAAGTATAAAATTGATGTTGCAAATTTACAATCCACATGCGTCAAATAAAAAGAAAAATGTTTAATTCGCCAGCTACAGTGTAAGTGGTTGTACTTGCAAAAAAATTACAACTTATATTACAATTACAATTAATTGATTAATATTAAATTGAATTATAAAAGATTCAATTAAATGTTAAGATTACAAACATAAATGAACGCTGATATTTAGCACTGATGATATAGCCCCCCCCCCCCCCCCCCCCCACACACACACACACATTATATCTATAATATTTTTAAATATTTATTGAAGACAAATATTTTCGAGTTTATAACAGGCGCAAAATTGCAAAACCTTCATAAACCCTAAAATTACATTCCAAAACAACATTTAAAGCTACAGTTCATACATGTTAAAGGATTGTAATACGTTAATTAACATTATCGTCGTCATCACCATCATCATTATTATTAATGGAAGGTATTACATAATATCTTTTAGATTGCAAGCTAGAAAAAAATTATGCCCATGTACTAATTCACAGTGTAGACATCCTAGTAGTAAACGCTTATTTACTGTATCTGGTCTTGCCATAATGTTGTATTGTAAACTACTAAGTCTTAATTAAGTTATACAGTTTAGCTCTAAGTAATATTGCCGAAACTTAGTGTAATTAAAACAATATGAAAAATTTCTAAGCTTGAAAGGTCTGTTGCAAAATCTTTCCGTTCGAAAATCCCAGTATCTGTAGACTGTGATTTAACATAATTTTATGCATATATTAGAAAGATTTTGAATAAAAATGCTACAAAAATTATTTGATAAAAAAAATGGACAATGAATTATTTATCGCGATGAACCTTTTTTATTATGTATCTATATTGTACACAGAATCTGTAAACATATGTTTTGATTCGAGATAAACGTCAGTCCCAAAACTTCAGTGGAATTAATTAAATTTACCCTCTTTCCACGAGAGGTTCCTATTATTCAATAAAAAAAATATTCCATCTTTGTCTAACAAAAATACGATTATCATAGTTAACTATAAATTACAATATTAAACAATAGTAAAGTAACAGTAAATTTTTTTCTACAGTAAATTAAGTAATTTTAAAATAATTTTCTTATTTTATATCTCTCCAGTTCTTACATCGAGCTTTTGATACGAAAGGGAAATATTACATGTATATAAAAATGATTATTATAAATACATGCATTGAAATATTAAGAATTTTTACTTTTTCTATCATTTTTAAAAGCTACCTTTCTGTAACCTCACCGAACATGTAAATTTATATATATACATAAACTTTTTGTAATTTTATTTGTTTTGTTTAACCGAAAAATTAAGATCAATGCGGTTAAACATTTTTTTTTACTTATATAAAGATGACTTTGCATTGTATTAAGTTGTTATTTTCAAGATTTTTGATAAATTTTAACTTATATTTACACAAATGTATATCATCAGATAAATATTGTAAAATTATATTTTTAACGCCGATACGATTTTGCGACATAAATCAGCGATATAATGAACAAATATGCCCATAAATGCAGAGTTTTTCCCGGGAGATTTAATAACTCCGTTCTAATCGTTATTCTAGTATTTTTCTCAAGATCAGCATATTTGCTCTGGAAATTGATCTGAAAAGAAAATTTTGACACTCTGAATGAAGCAATGCAATTTTTATGAATAGATCCCAACCATGCAGTTAACAATTTCACTCCAATTGATTTGAAAAAAGTAAACAAGTTCTCTTTTAGCTGTCAAACAGGGTGTTGACGAGTTTCGCTTGTTAAGGATTGATAAGTATAGAATCGGCGAACTGCTTCACCGAATGACACCGCATCGTGGGTGACCTGTGACGATGACAAGGTCACGTGACCATTCGCAGATTCAGACAGACTAATTGAATGTAACAGTCCCGGACATTTCTGATTCTAGTGGCTCATTTTCAGTTTTAATATTATGTGCAATTTAATCCAGATATGATCCTTTTAGATTCAATTGAATAAATCATTTTTTCGATAATGTCATCGTTAAATTGGGTGGTGTTTAATTCAAGGGTATGAAAAGGAATTGATCTCAAATTTAGCTCAACATCGATATAATAATACTTTATAATACATGTACAGGAAAGCTCAAAATTCTACAAACGATCATGTTGGTTTTCTTCTGTGAGTTGGTTTACAATTTTTAAAATAAATAGTATAGATCGATGTTTATATTGATGTTATAAAAATCTCAAGAAAGAAACAAAAAACTCTATGATTGGATTTGTTGATCTGTTTAGAATATTGATTTGAACATATTTTATTATGTAAAACACATAAATGGATTGGGCAGCAGGCATAGCCTATATAAGCCCTCTCCACAGGTACAAGGTTAATTAATACACATATAGTAACAGGTTTATATATGACCAATAAGTTATATATAACTGACACAAATTTGAATTGATTAAAGGGGAAAGAAAAATACATGATTGAAGAGAGAAAAAGAAAAAAAAAAAACACAACAACAAATGAATACCGGTTTGTAAATGTGGAAATGAAAGGGAAAAAAATGAAAACTACAGCAATTTATAAACATACAATGAATGTGTATTTAATTTAGGACATAAACTGGAATAAGTATTTCATAGTTACACTTCATTTATGAAACCTTTTGGTTTGTGATATATATTTGTGAACACAATCAAATAATTTCATATTATTTGCATAAGAAATATTACTATCACCAAATAATAAAAGATTAAGGGAAATAGGAATAGGATTTTGTAGGTCTATACTAGATATACAATTAAACAGAGTGTTTCTTTGCTCAAAATAACATGGGCATTCAAAGAAAAAATGATATGCATTTTCTATATGAAAATCACAATTTTCACATTTTGAGCTATCACTTATATAATCTTTCAGTAAATCACCATTTAAACTACTAGCATTATTTCTTAGCTGACAATGAATAATATTTTGACTACGATTTCCATGATTAAAAAGCTTATTGGGTGTTCTATAATGAGTCTTTTTAATGGCATTAATGAAAGAAGATAGTGTTGGTAAACTCCTAATATGGTATGGTAAACTATTCCATAATTTAATTGTAGATGGGAAATAACTATTCATATATATATGATGTGGTCCTCGTCTGAGGAATAAGAAAAGTAAGACCATCATTGTTTCTTAATGAATATGAGGTTTGGGGTGGAATACAAGGTCTGTTTAGAATATGTTCTGGTCCGTTTATTATTCTCTTTTTTAAAAAACAGTTTTGGATTTAAAAATATTAGCTATCTTCACTTCTTAGTATTTTCTTGTCCAGTAAGTTTTTTGGAAAAAAAGTCACTACATGTACATTGTTTAAGCATGTTAAAAAGAGTGCACTATATATCTTGATTCTGGAATTCGGAGCAATGGTTATATTGCTATTATCAGCACTGAAATATTTCGGACAATCAATTTATTTCGACAATATTGAGGACTTCCCGTGAGGAACATATCCTATTTGAAAACATGCTATCTGAGTATTATCCCCGGGTTTGTTTTACACGGATTTTACTATCTAATCTATTGTGCGAGAAGTAAACAAATACCATTACATAAATACGCGAAACAAGACTAGCAGTGGTCCATTATCCCATAGTCGCTGATAATTTGTGTCTAAAGAGATAGAGTTTTATCAAGGAAGATCGATTCGTTTTCAGTTTACTTAGTTAAGAGGATAAACTCGGGATTCGAACTATGAGCTCGTGTCAGCTGATAGAGAAGTTAATATATTTAGGAATATCTTAACACTACAGAATACGTGCTAATCTCTTCGGTTAGAATCAAACCTCTCTTTCTTGCATAAGAACAAGTAGAAAAAGAGCGAGGCTTTCCTCTCAACATCGGAATCTCTGAAACCGATTACGATTTTCTACTTTAAAATATTGATAGCAGGTGCGAGTTGTAAACAAAGGCATAAAGAAAAGGTGAATTTCTTATCAAATAAATATGAATACAAGCAAAGTATTAGGCTCCCAGGACAGGTGTATATAATTTTATACACAATAGTATCTATAATCACAATACCAAATTGAACGACGATCCATCCATACGCCGACAGAAATTAAAGCCAAATGTCATATCGAAGAAAAAGGGACGTGACCGACACACAAGATGTTTCTTAACTTTATAAGAATTCCAGTTCATATATATAGGCTCCTAGTATTAATGACTTAATTCTCTAAAATTGTTCCATTCAAGGCCATTATATCTTCTTCACAGTGGGGGTAAACATTGATCATCTGAAACCTGGACGGACGTGAAAAAATTCGTCCACGAAGAATACGACTCTATGAGGACATTTGGTCCGGGCTTATGATTAATCCGTCATAAACTGATTCATTTCAGGGGGACTCGATCTAGAAGTCCCCACTTATTGTTGTATTCACGAGAATATCATCCAGACAAATATTAGAAGATCAAACAAAACCGTTTTATTCTTTGTTCTTTCGGGACGACTAATACACCCGTCAATATTCAGGTTTTATAAACAGTCATACAAAAAATGACATCATCCTATAAGACATATCATTTATGGTATTTTTTGCAAGTTCATTCAAACTAAAAAAAAAACCAGTCCTACTCTTCATGCAGTGATAAATCATGATATAATTCACGGTAGATTTTGTCTTTAAAAGTGATAGTTTTCTTTGATTTAACTTCACAAATAAGTTTTCGGGAATAACATTTCAATCTAGATTTTTATGAATGAATTAATAGAATTATGTTTGCTTTAACTATTGTCCCTCCGCAATCTTTATTAAGTTACAGCATCTATAGCTTTTAGAGCTCGATGGCATTAAAATAGAATAGTATATAATATATGCTTCTTTTTATGAAATCCTGAGTATATTTTTGAACAATTTCTGTATATCATTTGATAAAAGTTTATAATGTTAATCATCAATATTTTTAAGTATTTAACTTTTAAACATTTAAACGATTTTTACATTAAAAGAAAAGAAATTTATTTTCATCAGACCTAATTTTTTTTAAAAATAAATACTTTTGTACGTTATGAATGGATGAATTTTACTGTTTCTGTTTCAATTGTAGCGAAAAGATTTGAATAAAATACCCAAAAAGAAAAATTAATAAAATATAATGTGTACTGAATTTGAAATATGTATAAACTGAATTAAACACTGTCTTGACGAAATTACATTTTAAAACGTCAGTATAGCAAAATTATATGCTAATTTTATCCATGACATGAATGATACGTGTATATTTGAAGACTGACTCCTCTTAATCCGATGTTGAAGTAAATGTAAAACTTATTTAAAATAGAAACGCTCTTTCTTTACTTATTTTAACAATTTAGGATCAAATTCCATTTAGAAACGATCTCGAAATTGATCTAAGGAGGCTATCATGACATAACGGCCTTAATACTCCGAAAAAACAAATATATAAATACAATGTCAACTTCGAAAAGAAGCCCGAGTTTGTTCAGTAGAAACTCCCCACAAAGAAACAACTAATCCCTGAAACTGAACAAAAACGCTCAAATTTGCCAAGCAATTTCGCTACCTGTAAGTGAAAATATTTTTCAGTTTAATTTCGGCTTAAAAAGTTTAAAATATTTGATTGGGTGGCAACTTTTATTAGATTTGTTATACATTTAAACGGTAGTATATCTAATTGGGAATTATTCCTTTATTTGTTTAATTTCGATATTTAAATTTTTGGTAAGTAAGAAGAATTATAAATATTGATTCTTCGAAGAATTAAGAAGTACAAGATTTCACAAGTTTGTATGTATACGCACTTGTTCCTAGGACTTATTTGAAAAAAAAGTAAGTACCCTATCCATATTTTTTCGTCATCTGTTTTCAATAATAATAAAAAAAAAACAGTTTTCCTTCAGGACATCAATAATTATTACCATAAACATTTTAGAAAATAAAATGTTTAAAACATCATTTATCCCCGATTCAAAGAAGGAATTTTATATAGCTAATTCAAATTAATTTATGAAGAAACTGTTTTGTAAAAGCTTAAACAACATATAAAACTGTGTTTTCTTTCAAAGAATGAAAAAAAAAACGATGAGGTTTGATTATGTTATGTGAACCAGGTATGATAAAATATATTTTTCATATGAACGTCTTAAGGCCATAACTGGTCATTGAGTTTAACATTACGACAAGAAAAATATTTGAGGATAAAGATGCAATTCCTCAAATGCGGAGAAAATCGCTTTCAACACTTATTGGTTGATAAAAAAAGGCCGTGGGATATAATAGTTCTTGATAATTATCTAAGTGACGCTGAAGTTCAAATACTAGCCATTAATCGTGTTTTAGAAAGTGTGAAATAGTTGTATTATCGTGTGTGTAATCTTGTATCTGTTCCTTTGACAAATCTATCTAAGTAAAAAAAAGTGTTGCGAGTAAATTACTCGATTGTCAACACATGGTAGATGCTTCAGACAAATGAACCATATATCATTTTCTTTTCTTTTAACAATCAATTTGTTTGCTAATTTACGGAGTTTATAAGCAAATTTGAAATTTACTATCCGTTAAAATAATATTCTTTTTTAAAATAAAAATTTGGCAATAATTTAAAATAAACAAAATTAGAATATTACATGCATATTAAATATGTTCATATTTACTTTTAAAACAAAAAGAAAACAGGCAGATATTAAATTGAAGGTAACAAAATTCACATAAACACTAATTTTCTATATTGATATAAATTCTAAAGAATTTATCACTTTGTTGTGTTTTTTCCCAATAGTTTTTAAAATAATTTCTGTAAAATATTTCTATTTATTTTATTTTCTAATTAGATAAGGAATTGCAGAGTTTTGAGTAAAATTTTAAAGTGTAAGAAGTAAATGTTTGAAGAAAAATAAATCATTTACAATTTATTAAAGAAAACTTGTCTAAAATTGCATTTTATTATGTCTCAAAACAGGTACTTCATAATCATTAATTATTACAAATTTTTGCATGAATTTATTATGCTGCATTTCAGTGAAAGTTTATATTTTTTAACCTCTGAATGTGGCGAAATTTTAATTTCATTCAAAGAGTGACTAACTGTTCCAGAGTTACTCAATTTAAGGTTAATATACTTCTTCATCAAAAACTTAACCTAGGATTTGTGCACGCAAAAGAAATAAAATTTACCGATTTTTAGCCGCAGCGGCTCTGTCTCTCTGTCGCCGATTCTTGAACCAGTTGCCAACTTGAGTAGGCGTCAGCCCAGTTGCTGTTGCCAGCTCCCGCTTCTTGGTTGGGTTGGGGTAAGGGTCCTGGAGGTACCATTCCCTTAGAAGGTTGCGGGTTCTCTCTTTGAAGCAATGTGTCTTCTGTTCCCCATCCCAAATTGTCCTGGGAAGGGGGAACTTCTTCCTTACTCGGTATTTGTCCACAGGACCCAAGGGTCGTCCGCGAAGTTTTTCGGCTTCCTGGTAATGGGCTTCTAGCCACATCGCCTGTAATTTGGCATGGGATTCTTTGGTGAATTTATGATGCTCAAGAATGTGATAAAGGTCTCTGTAATTTCCTGTATGGAAAGAAACAAGTGCTCGGGCTCTCAAAACTGATTCATGTTTGTTTAAAGCTTCACAAGCAGAAGGGTTAACAGGCAAAGACCATAGAAAGCGTCCTAAGCGTTCAATATCTCCACTTTCTTCCAAAGTCTCACAAACTTGTGCCACTTGTTGTGGTGTAAAGTGCAGAGTTGGAAGAGCAAACATTTTGTCTCTTTAACAACTAACTCTTCTCACTTGATTGATAAATCCAAATAATTCAATGATCAAAATATAAATTAACAAAATTTCAAGAAGTCATGACGGAAAGGACTTCGAGAAATATACTGTCTGTTCTGTTCCTTTCCCCGTGGATGGTGTTTTTCTGTATAAGTGTTATAGGCCGTATCATACAGCGGTTTTATCCAAGAAGACATAGGATTAATACACATATGTCATACGCTCTCCTTAGGTTTTTAAATTGACAACTCAATGATTCTTGGAGATATGTCAACATCATTAAACACACAAATCAAGGGGGAGGTTCCCAATCTTTTCTTCACTGGGGTTTTATCATTTTTATTTTCTTGTAACAAAATTTGTTATAAATTTTATCAGGTTGAATCCGTTTGCTCTCGGCGTAACGGCCATTTGATTGGCGGAAAATTATCTCCCGCTGCAAAGCATTAAAATCGGGCTGTCAATCATATTCGTCGGTCAATCAGGTGCCCGTAACGTCACGATTGTTCACTATGGGTGTACAATCCGATAAATTATAATAGATAAAAAGGAAACGCCTCACTTCATCCGAAACAGCAAAAACATTTAAGGAATACTTAACAGATTAAGTATGGCTGCATACTGTGAAAACAGTTGAATGCTTTGGTAAAATGTGATTTTGACAAAATACATACTAATATTTTTGAATTTATACATCTATCCATTGCCAGTTTAATCTGAACTGGTGTTTTATCAAAAGTTCAATATCGATCATAAGACTTATTTAGGAAATCTCTCAGTATATATAAAAACACGCTGTTGATTTTTCTACAAATACTTTCAAAACTTCGTCAATTGATTTGAGGAATTACATAAATAATAAAACATTTTTTATGCAAAAAACATTTTTATGTTTTTGAAATGAAGGAAGAACCATAATTTTTCTTCAGTTACATGTAGTAAATAGAATGCCCCAATACAAAATTGAAATAAAGAGGGAATATGTCAAAAATAAACATATCAAACATTGGAAATGTACATGAACTTATATTTGCTGTTTGGAATGATTCTTAGCGGATAATTAGATGGAGCTTGCAAGAATCATTACAACTTATTATACATATAAATCAGTAAGTTATATATATATACATATATTCACTGGGATGGGACCCATGTCTTCCAGAAGCTAATACTCTTTTAAATAAGAAACTACTGGGCATTAACCCCTAATTAGTAATTAATGTAAAAACTTTATTAAATTATTATTATCATTAAACAGTGTGAAGTTAGAAGTACATTCATGTATGTTACATTTTTAAGAAACTGAACATTAGATTTCGGCTTTATTATCAATTTCTTTTAAACAGCGATGAAAATTTGTTGATATAAAAAATACACCCTCAATAACTTTAAAAAATAGAAAAAAAATATAGGTGTACACTTAAAAATTAATATAATCATTATATCAAATTATGAAAAATAAATTAGGGAATTTAAATTTGAGAGAGTCGACTTAAAAGCACTGCTTTTTTCACAGTGTAAAAATATTAACCGAAATTCATTAAAAAAGTGCAAGGTGTGAGTAAACTTTGAGGTACAAATAACTAACAACATTTATGAAGTGTATTGACAGCTCTGATCAGTAGATGCAATAAATTAAATAATATGATGTTGGATTGCATTATTATGAAAAATTATAAGTATGATTACATTAAATACATTATTAGAATTATATTATTGTAAATGCCAGAGTAGATAATCTTTATACGAGCAAATTAACAACATATTTATATATGAAAAATAACTCTGTGTGGTATCTATAACTGAAAATATTATTTGAGAGAATATTGATAAATTATTAAACTATTATTAAACTCTTATCCGTCTTGTTTTTGATAATATACTTAAAGAAAGGATATTTTTTAAAGAAAAATCAATAATTGTGTTGTTTATAATTTTTTTAGGGGATGGAGCTAAATATAAAATTAAAATATCAACAAAGAAAGAAGAAAAATAAGTAGATATTCCATATACATGCATATAATTAAGAAAGCAGGGAAAAACAAAAATATTGATAATACTGATAAAAAGTACTGTTTTAGGACAAGGTTTACACATGTTCCGTTTGTATAACCGATGCCTGCCAGTCAAAAGCTACAACTGATTGACACACTTGATAAAAAGGAAAACAGGGATAACAAAATAAACATGAAATGTCCGCATGTTCAATATGCAGAAAATATGTTTTTTATTGGAGTATTCATAATTAACCATATGAAAGTTCATTTCTCAGTAATTGGAAAGACAACATTTACATACAAATTACAAAATTTTACAGTAGATAACTGCATGCTGAATCTCATAATTTGATTCTATAGATTGGTGTGTGTGGGCTTCTTAAATATTCTACCTACAATAATTTTGGCTGTCGATTTTGGAAGATGGATTATTTATAATGCAATTTATGTATATATATATCTTAGAAAAATAGTATATCCATTAATAAAGATGAAACCTAGTAGAATGTTTGACATTTACCGCGGTAAAAACTGCGAACAATTTCTATTATACTCTTTTTAGCACCATTTACCCCTTACCGAGTGAACACAATGTTTGGCAGATACATATCATCAATTTATAATGGAACGTTAATATGGTGTGAATTGGCAAGGGAACAACGGTTATTTAGCGTCCGTGGGAATCGACTGAAATATGAGAGCCCAACTGATAAGTTCCGAACAGGTAAATTGATCACTCCTTATTTAATAAAATAATTCGCACCTGGTTGAATTAATTAACAAGATTGCAAGATTGCTACATAGGTAGATCCACCCCTCTCCTGGCCTTAAAATGTACCAAAAGCCAGATTAAAAGGTATTACTATGTTATTAAGTTCATAAATAATCGGTAGAAGGAAATTTAGACGCAATTTAGGTTATAGAAAGATACCGAATTTGTATTAATATATCTGCACTGTTGTACCACGTAGAGCCAGGGTCCGTAAATGAATATGTCAAGATTATGTCCGACAGAGCCCGCCATGGAAAACGCGTTGTTACTGACAGGACCGGATATCGCGTGTCTTGCAAAGGATCAAAACGCTTACAACTAATAGCGCGGCGGAAACTGAAGAACAGCTAAATAGTCCTCCCACTGCGTCAGGACTATTAAGTTTCTTCGTCTGCAGAAAAAACTTTGTCGCAAATTATGATATATTTACATTTCTTGGTGTATGATTGAAATGAAGATGTTATGGAGTCTCGCCAAGAAAAAAAGAGAGTTCATGTTTTTTTTTCCCTAGACGTTACTGATTACTGAAAATTTATTGGACAAATTTATTTCAAACAAGCTATAAATAATTAATTAATCTAAAGTGTTTCTTCTTTATTTTAATATAAAATTATATATTTTGATGATGGACGCATTTTGAGACTTTTGCATGTGATATTATTGAATGTACAAATAATGTATTAGCAAAATATCAAACCAATCAAATTAATTAACGAGTTTATTTTTACTTTCCATGGCTTTATAACCATTCCTGAGGCCATCAGGCAATGGGACAGTAAAATGAAGTCAGGACCCCAACTCTCCAAAGCTTTTCGAATGAATCTAAACTTAAGTATAACTGCACCTGCACTTAATAAATCCGAGATCCAGGATCATGTGAGAATGCAATGAGACCACCAGGAAAGAGTCATGGAAGGGAAGTTCTTAATTTTTTCTCTTATATTAATATGAAAGGAATCCTATGATTATGGCAATGACACAACAATTCAGAGGTACAAGTACACAAAACAACACATGGTACCAAATCAGGGGATGAAGGGAAAACTAAAAATATGGTAACAGAATACAAACTAATTCAACATGTTGAAGGACTTAAAATCTGATTCTGTCATAAAAATACATGTCTATTACAGTAACAATATAGTTTCATTGTATAACATACATGTACGTTAACATTTCGTTCACACACTTCTTCCTTAAGTGTTACAATATTATACTAGTGTAAGATTCCAGTATTATGACATTTGTCGGTACAAGTATTGTTTTACATAAATTTCATTTATAGTGTACTTGGTGTGCGTGCAACATCGTAGCTGCTACATTGTAAGCAGGCTCTGCTTTAAGGTTCATAAACCCTATGCTCACTCATAGAATAGGAACAAAAGAGATTTATGTCATTAAGAGTTATCTCTCTTGTCAGAGTATCGATGAACCTTAAACTACCTCTCATTTGAAAAGAGAGCTAGCCTAGTCGCTACGTAGGGGGAGCTAACATAAATACTTGATGCTTTTATATCTAATCCAAGATGACCTCTGTAGTTACAAATTTGCAACACGATTTTAAACCAGAAGTCTCTGTCCAGACTGTAGCTCTTCTAGTTTGTACTTATAATAACGGAAGAGAAAAGTAGCAGTTGGGACTAATATAAGCAAAAGCAATAGATAGAATAATGATCCTTGATTAAGTCACTTTTTGTGGCAAGATTGCAATAAGACTACAACTGTAGGAGTAGCTTTGAATAAAATATTACATAATTTTTTAATTTGAGTTACCATGGCAACATCAATCATCAAAATCAAAAACATAAAACTGATAATTATGTATCTCAGTGTAGTCTACTTGCATGCCAAATCATATTACAACCATACAAAACCTGTAGGAGGAGTAACATTTAGAAAGTATTTCACATAAATTTCTATTTGCAGTAACCAAAGCAACATCGTTCATCGATATCAAAAACCGATATTAACAGAATTATGTATCTTAGTGTAGTCTACTTGTGTGCCAAGTTATACTGAAATCAGACCAAAACTGTAGGAGAAGTAGCATTTTAAATATATTTCACAGAAATTTTTATTTTTGGTAACCACGGCAACATCTTTCATCGAAATCAAAAACCGATAAAAAAAAAAAACTATGTATCTTGGTGTAGTCTACTTGTGTGCCAAGTTATATTCAAATCAGACCAAAACTGTAGGACGAGTTGCATTTTGAAAGTATTTCACAAAAATTTCTATATTTAGTAACCAAAGCAACATCGTTCATCGAAATCAAAAACCGATATATAGAATTATGTATCTTAGTGTAGTCTACTTGTACGCCAAGTTATATTGAAATCAGACCAAAACTGGAGGAGGAGTAGCATTTTAAAAGTATTTCACATAAATTTCTATTTGTAGTAACCACGGCAACACCGTTCACCGAAATCAAAGACCGATATACAGAATTATGTATCTTGGTGTAGTCTACTTGTATGCCAAGTTATAATGAAATCAGACCAAAACTGTAGGAGGCGTAG